GATAGATAGATAGATAGATAGATAGATAGATAGATAGATCAAACTGAACACGTTTTATTAATCCAAAAGTAACCTGAAGTCCATGTTGTTCATATGTCCGTCAGGCTCTTGGGTGGAGCTGGAGGGTCTGGTGGCTTCTGCGAGTCAAACAGAAGCAGAACCAGAAGCACAGGACACCACGGCCTCGTTCCTGCAGGGGGAGCTGGAGAGGATTCTGCTGGAAGCTCAGCTGGAGTGTGAGAGGAGTAGTCAAACAGAAAGGTGTGGAGCTGAAGGCCTGTTTGAGCTTTTTCTTTGGCTATTGTGGAAATTTTAACCAGTGCACTTGGAAGTAAATTAATCTATTCTTAGGAAAGAATAATCACAAATAAGATCATTTTAATTTCTGTGTTACTCTTTACACCCGTTTTCTCGAAATATTAGAAAAAACTTCACATACATGTACCTCTAAAATGTACCACCACAACAATTTTGGCTGGAAAATGTATTTGACTTCCGATGTTTTATTTCGATCAGTTTCCAGCATGTTTAGTGATTGATGAGTAATTGCATACTGCAAACTATCATCATATATACATTTTAGGCAATGTTTGTGTAGCAAAAATGCAGCATTGGACTTTCATCGTTTTGCTTACTTTTTTTATAACACAAGTTTCCTCTCCGAATTCAGTCCTCCGCAGGTCTTGACCCCGAGAACATCTGTATCTCCCAAACCAGCCAGTGAGGGCAGCAGCAGCACAGACTGTGTGACTATACAGGTAACAGACACCTGAAGCACTGGTCAGTGTATGTTAGTTCCCACAATACTGGCAAATAAGGTAGGCTGTTTTATATTTACAACCCATGAGCTGATGGTTTTGAAAGTCTAATGAACTTATTATGGATACAATCATAACAGCACTTTAATTATGACAGATTGCAATGGTAATTAGTCTCATGGTTTTATGTATATGCTCATAAGTTTTCGATTACTCACTCAATAATCAAGCTAAAAAAAAATCT